AAGCCGTGCAGCCCTTCCATTGCGACTGATGAAAATAATCCAACATTATCGACGAAAGAGGACCTCTGGACCTACTCTATTATAATCACGAACCGATGTCTAAATATAATGGAGCATTATGGAAAATCCTCGGTTCAAAAATCGCTTCTTTGATAATAGAGCATTTTCCTGGAAATAAAGCTGCATTATAGCATTATAGCATTGTGCTCTGTTCAAAAAGCCACCCCAAAAATCGAAAAAATAATGCTCCACTTTATAAAGCTGTATTATCCAATAGAGCAGGATTATTTTAGAGCTCGGTTCAAAAATCCACCCTTACTCACAACAACGTGAATTACACGTTTTCAAAGGATGTTTACTTCACGTAACAAGGTCGAAAGGCGATCTTTCCTTCCACGTTCCTTCAACGTCTTGTGCAGACCGTGTAGGCATGGACCACATGTGCCCCCCGTAGAGATCGTATATTTCATACCGATTTCATATCGGTATATACGATCTCTATGGTGCCCCCCCGAACAGGGTGCAAATTCACCACGAGTTTGGAGGGGGGGGGGGGGGGGGGGGGGGGGAGCTTTGGTGCCCCCCCGAAGGGGGGGAAAATTCCCCCCGGGTTTGGGGGGGGGGGGGGGGGGGGGGGCGTTGAGAATCTCTTTACACAGGGCGCCGAAATAGGTAGGGCCGGTCCTGGGTATTCAGTAGATGTCTCAAGACTCGAAACACAAATAGTGTCAGTGCTTTTATGGGGTTGTAGGAGTTCGTCGCGAAGGCATGTTCATTTACCTGATACTTCTTGGCCACCCTGTAGGATTCTGTTTCGATTGAAAGAAGGCGATACCTTACCTGAGCTTGGCCAACGTTAGGGCTTTCTTAATGTAGTTAGTTGCTTAGGCCTAACTCAGCTTGGCTAGAGTGTTTTGAGCCGTGGAAAGTCAAACGTTAGGCCTCTAAGGCCTGCAGCGGCAGTAACGTGAGGCTAGTTTAGAACTAGGCAGGCCTACCAATGCCTACCCTTGGGCTGCCATGGTCCAATCAGTAGTTCTATTCTTAAGAACAATGCGCATGAATTGTGACATTCGGGGATGAATTGCCACTCCTCATTCTTCTTCAGCTCTTTTCAAGAAATTCTCTTTTCCATGAATGTCAGACGCATCTTTGGACGATCCGTGTAGCCCTGCAGATCATCCTCCTGTTCTTGATGAGAATGACATGGTGCAAGAGAACTTCCAGAGGCCTAAACCTGGAAGGAAGATATTAATAAACGACAAAGGTGAACATATTTTGGAATCTGGGCATCAGTCCCAACCGGATGAGGAGCACAGTGAAGCCATGAGGCATAGACATTTGAATGCTGATATCGATTTTGATAATGATCGATTCCCCTTCAGCCTAGTTTGGACATCCATCCCACTCTTGACGTGAGTAGGTCCCAATGTCTTTTTTGTCTGACCTTACCTAACCTAGTCTTGGGCTAAACTAAATTGTATATATGCTGCAGTGACCTTGAATAAAACTAAGGTCATGTTGAATGTATGCTGTGATGATAGCATGTGCACTGGAGATGTTTATGCCATCATTCATGCTATGTGTGTTGTGCATCTATTGTACTGCTTCATGATAAAAAAATTAGTGAAAGCTGAAAGTCACACTTATACTAAATACAGACATCATGTTTTTTGAGTGAATGACATTGACTTATTCTCTGGGAGAGTGATACACTTGGCACTGCATTACCTGTATTTTTTTCTAATTAGCTAGGGGAAGAGAAATGATCTCCATTGTGTCCTCCTTAAGAGTCAGCATTTATGGTGCATGAGGCTTATGGAGTAGTGATGCCTTAACATACAAAAGGGTAATTTGAAAAACTGACTTTCAGGTGGTTTTTCCCATTTATTGGGCACATGGGGATAGCAACATCCAATGGCATAATCCGAGACTTTGCTGGACCCTATATGGTATCTGAAGACCAGATGGCCTTTGGAAGGCCCATGAAATATGTTGTAATGGACCCTCTTCTTGCACGAGGGGGTGCAGATGGCTGGGACCGGGCAATATTTGAAGCCTCTGAAGAGTACAAGACTCGAATGGTTAGTTTGAGATTGGCCTCTATGCATTTCAATAGGCCTAACATTTCTTATTTACTCTAGTGCTTCAACTTATTAGTATTATACACCCTTCCTCAGTGTTTTATGTTATTCAAATATATTTCAAAATAGTATTAAAAAATAAGGAGGGAAAAATTCACACCCAAGTACTTTTAATGGAGGAAGGCACATGAAATTGTCCTTCATTCCCATCATTGCTTTCTTTTTTTCCTTGCTTCCTTCCACCTTTCTTGGCACTCAACCCAATCACTTGTTGATGATCAACAACTGCATTTTGTGTTAATGCCACCATCCCTTGGCTATCAATTCCCCCTTCTGCAAAGCATAGCAAATCCATTAAGTTAAGTGAGACCACCATATTCTCATGGTTTCATCATTGAATAGCTCAAAAAGAAGTCCCCATCACTAGGGCAACCATGGGACAACATGGATGGAAGCAAGGCCTATTTTTCCTTGCTGGAGTTTCACCTCATTGCTTCGACTGGGAATCCAAATTCTCTTCAGGAGCTTTGATCAGAGCAGGCAGAAGAGATTTTTTAGATGCAGTGAGGATCCATTCAAGTGTATGGGTTAAATCTCCACCAAATTTGGTGTGCACTAGGTGTATATATGGGTGACATAGACCAGATTTAGCTTAACCAGATCTGAGAAAGATCTTAAACTGGGTGGTAATGAGAGTCTGTGCAGTTAGTCTTACTTCCATAGATGCTTATTGTGCAGTTAAATTAGTTTAACCTTATCACCATGACCTGGGGTCTGGACTGACTCCAGTCCTGTTTTTATGTTATTCTGCAAAAAAAAAAACTATTTTACTCTGGGTCCTAATTTATGATGACAGCTCTCACTAACCTATTTCAAAAGTGATGGCAACACACTGAAAAACCAGGTCCAAGCAGGCATACTCCATGTCACATTGATAAGGGTCAGAGCATGTGCAGTCTTTCTGTACATGTGCTTACATGATGTTTGAAGTGCATAATGTACATAATATTTTAGTTTTGTCCTAGTGAGAATTATGAAACCTTTTTTAAAAAACTGATTTACATTTGTTCAATACATGACATGTTTCAACATCTCAACATCTCAACATTGTGTGTTTCATATTTTGCATGGGACCTGTTGCATGTAAGCAACTCTGTCTTTATTGGTAAAGCTGCCTCTTGTAATTATAAAAACAGAAATTTGAAGGAAATGATCAATGTGCAAAGTCAACCTGTTAGCACCATGAACTGAATATTCCTTTTTGACTAAGTGTGACTTACACTTGCTTGTATTTTCCAGCACAATCTCTGTTGGGACAACTGTCATTCACATGTGGGCATGGCCTTGAGTCTCATGGAATATGATGGTGGAACTCACTTCAGCATGGTCTACTTAGTCTGGCTTTTTATTGTCAGATCAAAATATGTCAGGTCGGTCCTTGAATTGCCTTTTGAAAATGGTTGAACAGTTTTATATATGATTGCCCCTGTGGGTATTTTCAGTGAACCAATATTACTGTATTATCCAGCACAGCATCATTTTTCACTGCAGTCATTCAGGGGATTGCTGCCTTTCTGCCTCAATACATAATGCTGTACCCTCTACTCCTTTTCTCATATTTTGCTAAAATACCTGCATGAGTCTCTCACATATCTGCTTGGAAGATATATAAAGCAGAACTATTATGAAGGTTCTCATGCAAGATAAATTTTCAAACCTGAGGGGCCAGGGCCTCCCCGCCTTAAGAAATTGGCACGGAGGTAGTTTTTTTCCCTCAGACAGTGTATTCCTTCAGAACCCAATTCATGGCTTGTCTTTACTTCTGTTACTAATTATGTAGGCTTTCAATATGGCAAGAAAGTTTGATATTCTATGGATGAAACTCGTGCTGTGAAAATATAAATGATATCTTTCTTTTGTATTTCCAGCTGGAAAGCAGTCCTGATGACCTGGCTACCATTTTGCTTATTTGTAATCTTCATAACCCTCATTGTGATTGTGCCCATGAGGTCTCTGTGATACTGCAATTTGTCATCAATGCTATGCATCCTTCCATGAATATGATCCATGTAGAGGATTTTCTTAAGGTGATAATTTCATTGTAATGGTTGCATTGGTTTAGCATGAAGCAATAATTGAGGACCCATTCTTCTCAGTTGTGTGAACCTGAGGATGTACTGTTCCCCCCCCCCCCTTTAAATTCATATATCAAGAGATATATTTTAACTTCCTGCAGGTCATTTTTTGTCATTTGAGCTTCAAAATAAAGATGGAATGCATGAAGAAAAAGTCAATAAAATGGGAATTTGCTTAAAATTACTCTGACTTTCCAACAAGGCCTATAGGCCTTAATCACCCAAAAGGTTAAGAAAACACTGGTTTAGAAAATAATTCATGTTTCTGTTTCTCCTGTGTATCTTTCTACTCAGGTGAAGGCCATTGAGGTTTGAAATTCATGATAACATGCATAAAATTTTTGCAAAAAATTACAAATGTATGGCCTGCTGCAGGCTGCTGAGAAATGGGAGGGTCCTGCATATGCCACTGAGTTGGTAATAGATTATGCTATCACTGAACCTTGGAAGTGCTTAGATACACTCAAGATGGGACTATAAGTGACCTTGCTTGTTTTTCCTTTTTTTATTTTCTGTCAATTGAAAGAAAAAAAGAGAGACTGCTTTTCCAAGAAAGGTTATTTTGTATTTTTCTAGTTCTCATGTTTAGATTGCTCTTGCATGCACATTTTCCCTTACCCAGGGACTCCTCCTCGAGGGAACACTCCTAACGCTGGTCCAGCATTGTAAACGTTAGCACAGCGAATTGCTCCTTTTAGAAGTGCATGAAGCAACGTTAAACCCTAGAGCGTTATATGAACACTGTTCCTCCGTTCGTAGCTCAACTATGTTAAACATTCCATCACAACCGAATCTATCTCCTCTTGAAGAATGAGACATGCACAGCAACAGTGCCCCGTGAAAGGAAGATGAATGCTTTTCTGTGCTACTCTATGGGGTTTCCCCATGGAGTCACCTCGTAAGTTTAAGGATCCTCCCCCCACCCCCAAGCCAGAGTTTCCTGGAGACAGTTTGTACTGGGTTACCTCTTTTGACGAATTTGTTGTAGAATTCAAATGTCTTTCCCTGTGATGCCTGTGGGGGAAAGATTGTGTTCTGTGTGGATAGTATTAAAAAAAAAATCTATTTGCAGCTGTATCAGGTATTGCCTCGTAGCAACTACTTTGGCCTCACCTCTCTTCGGTCGTGCGAACTTTAGTTTCTTTGAGCCACTACCAGGTTGCAGCCCGCTGTCCCGATCAAGTGTTGCATGCAGAACGTTGTCATAACATTGATTCGACGCCCTTATGCCAACGTTGCTATGAGCGCTTCCATAGCGGACATTTTAATGGTATGACAACGTTCATACCATGTCACGGAAGTACACTCGAACGCGGAAACACCCAAATTACACATTCCCAATGTTGCACTAACATAACCTGTTTCCAGGGATTTGTGTGAATAAAGAAAACGTCTCTTTAAGGTTCAACGAATGTTCTTTAGAAACGCCATGAAGAATAAGATGTTGGAGATGAAACGGAACCTTAGTTGAACGTCCAAAAGGTGCCCATCCGTGAATATCGCACGTTCCAAAACCTCTTTGAAAACAGAATGAACGTTCATGAGTTACTTGGGTATTGTGCTTGATTGATAACTATTTTATCGATGTATTACTCGAATATACCTCATTAATCTAGAAATCCACTCAGTTGACAAAAGCTGTGCGCAAGCAACCTGGAAGACGGAAAAGCGCATCGATATGATTCGTCTCAACGTTTACTTAACGCTCGTCCAATGTAACCCCACAATCTTGATGTGTTGGACGTGGAACGTTATAAAAGCATATCTTTAACGTTTTTGGGCTAATGTTGCATTGAGCGCTTCCAAAAGGGACATTTCAACGTTTTGATCAACGTTCATTCTATGGCAGGGCAAATGTGTCAACACATTTCCTACGTTGCACTTAACATTCCTGTATTTGCTGAGGAGACAAATAGGTAAAAGCCTATTGCAAACAGTTTGGCATCACATCAGAAATATCTAAAATGATATAAATTATGCTGAACATAAATGGACAATCTAAGGTTTGTTATGCAGCTCTCACACCTGCACCAGTGTTCGAGATAAGTGTTCATGAATTCATGCCCTCATCACACGGATATTTCTCTTGCTGTGCGACTTTATTTCTGCCTTGAATCATGGTATGTAACAGAGCATATTCTGAATTTATGTATGACTTGCATTGATATATTATTTATTAGGCGTTATCTGATCTGCGAGAGAATGCAGCTGCAGATAACAGCTATTATGTCTCCTTGCATCTTGTTTTGATTATTCATTGTCTTACGCAACTGTTGCGAAGCAATGCACAAATCCGTCATTCAAGTTTCATTCGATTAGCATTATTACACAAGTGTCCATGAATGATTTTGAATTATAGCCTTGGGAATAGACCTGTGGATCATGGGCCTGGAAGTATTCTGACTATGAGAGGGGTGGATAGGGGGGCTTCAGACCCCCCCATGTCGTCCAATAGTGGACCCTCTTTTCATGATTTGAAAACAGGGGTATGTTTCCCGTAAGGTAGAGGTTGGAATTTGGGAGGAGAATGGAACGTATGCTAGATATGACAGCATGAGTTGGCACGTTGGCTACGAAGCAGGATTTTTAAATGTAATATGTATCACCGGTGATGCATTTGGCAGCCAACGTGTTAAGCTAGAAACTCTTCCCATACTGCCATTTGCTGTCACTCTACCCGTTCGTCAACAATGGATTCGTCAGCTACAAAGGTTTAAAGGGAACTGGAAGTTCCGGTTGGTGTTATGAGACCCCTTACTAATGTTCAGCGTTGCGCATGGGTCCAGATCCAGGAAGACCGGATTCTCATGCTTTTCTCACCGTGAAAAGTGTTAAAAGACCTGATTAGGGAGACCTGTTCCTTGGCATATTGCCGCGAACGAACTTTGCTTGCATATTGCCCCTAATTATCTGCATACTAATTTTCACATGGGTCAATATTTGTTAGTTATCGTCAGGTAATAAAAGCGCGAGACGGAGATGGTAAGTGCGTGTGCGTGCTCCGCACGCACACGCACTTACACATACAGCCAGGACGGGACTACAAGGGGTCTTTCCTCCAGGAAAGGAGACCCACTATAGAGGAAAACCCAACGGAAGTGAGAGGAAAGAGCAATAGAAGTGACAGAAATCTCGAGTTCGAGAAATTTTCTCGCCATCGAAGGAGAGATGATCAGGATGTCCACGATCCGGATCTCATTTCTATCATAATAGATTCGAGGATTGCATTGCAACTATGGAAAGTTGTTACATCGAAACCTGATTGAGGAATTCCAGATGAAACTGGTTTCCAACACTTCCTGTTCCGTGAAAGGTACCTTTTTACTTCCAAAAGCTTGTAATCGGAAAATAAGATGGTGCACTAATGGAGAAGCTTATATCAGCCTTCCTGACAGGCTATCGATGCTCCTTGCTGGGTGATTTTCAAGTAAATGCCAGGTCAACTCGGGATCAAAGAATGCTCTACAATCTAATACATACAGGGTGGTAAAAAAAAACCAAAGCTATCATTTTTGGTGAGTCGTCAATCTCTTTGTAGGCTGCCAATTTTAATTAAAATTGGTAGATTTATAGATTGACGCAATTGGAGTTTGTATGCCTAATTTCAGCTTTCTGGCTCTAAAATTATAAGAGCTGTAAGTATTTTCTGATGACCACCCACAAAATGTGCTGTCGAAAATATCGATATGAACTTGAGGCTGGGATGAAAGAGAGGTCCGTATTCTTGAACTTCCATCCCTGCATGATGCTACAAAGGAAGATTGGGAGGCTCATACTAAAAGGTTTATTGACCGAGCCATTGACCTGTGGTGTCGCAGACTTCAGGCTAGTGTTTAACAGAATGGAGGGCACATTGAGCACCTTTTCAGTTGAAATGAACATCCCTAAACCAAATTGTGGGCTTTCGTGTTTGGCACTTGTGCATTTGTTATTGTTCTGTTTGTTTGCTTGTTTGTTTTTGTCAGCTGTGAAAGATTTTAAGCTGAAAGAAAAAATGAACACTTACTTTTTTGGCGATGAAATGTAAATTAAATACCAATCTCACAGTTCTTGTAAATTTTATTTGAAACTTGGCGCACAAACCTTAATTGAGTCACCCTATGTGTCAACCAAATTTAACAAAAATTGGCAACTTACAATCAGATTGACAACTTGCGAAAAATGATAACTTTTTTTTTACGTTTTTTTTTGGCCCACCCTGTATATCGACGATCGTGACTGACAGGACTTCGGAACGGATCAGAATTGATTGCTCCCGAAAACGGAATAGTTTCGTTCCGTTCCGTTCCAAGTACCCTGTCCATTTTTTCCTTTCCAATCTTGAAGGAATATTAACCCCTTAGCACACCGGTTTTGGACAAGATCACATCCGTGATATGCCATAATTTTGAAGAAAAAAAATTATTGCGCAACGCAATGGAATGGAAACATTCTCTGGAACAGAACGGAACAGAAACCGAAACACACGGGAATCAGGTGAAATGGAACAGAGTGCGGACGAAAAAAAACGGTTCCGTAGTCCCAGATTGACTGAGTGACTGACGCAAATTCTAACCATGTTTTACAAGTAGCTTCGAAGAGTTCGCGGGAAAATGCTCTCAGGGGCTGGTTTTCGATCTGATCGTAATGACACTTGGTAGAAATGTTAATGACGTAGTTCCTGACTTGCTACAAAGAGGATCTAAAAATGCACCGCGTGTGTCAGTAGATTGTGCCACCACTTTTGACAGCAGATAAGAGGCAACATCGCGTGGCAGTGTGTGGTGACCACATCAATTCTGCTGACAAGAACGCGAATTTTGTGGGGGGAAATCATCTCTGGGAATGAGAGATTGTGTTTTTCGTACGACCTGCATCCACAGCGTCAATCAACAGGTCAACGTCTTCATTTCGATGGGAAAAGCCCAAAATCGACATGTCACCGGGGAAAGTGATTATAGTGGTATTCTTTGACTTTCGCAAAGTGATTTATCGTGACTTCGATCCAGACGGAAAAAGGGTGAATTCGATGTACTGTGAGATTCTGGGACGGTTGCGAAATGCAATATGCCGTAAACGTACTGATATGGGGGCTTCTCCGGAGCGGATGCTGCCTCGTGACAATGCCCAAGCTTATCGTTCTCTCAAGGCCCGACAGTATCTGGCGCAGCTCTCGGTGACTATGTTACCACATCCTTCGTGCTCCCCCGATATAGCACCATATACAATATAGTGACTTTGGGCTTTTTCCACGAATGAAGCAGGCATTCAAGGGACAGAAGTTCTCCAAAAGCAAAGACGTGGTAGTGGCTGCTACGAGGCCTCTCAAGGACCTGGAAATGAAAGGGCTCCAAGGCGCGTTCAAGAGGGTTTAAGAGGGTTTAAGACGGGTGCACAACTCAAAAGACTGTGAGAGCTGCTTGCGATTTTTACTCACATACCGCGGGCCGCAGTCTGGCTGACCATGGCTATGGCCAACAGGGCAGGTGCCATAGTAGCACTAACAACGCCACCAGTCACGGCGGGCCGTAGGTTGTGCACCCCTGGTTTAAGCAATGCCATGACAACGTTCTACTTGCAGCACTTGCTCGGGACAGCGGGCCTGCGATCTGGCAGTAGCTCAAACAAACAATGGTTCGCACAACAGAAGCGAGATGACGCCCAAGTAGCCACTATAGCGAGTCAAGAACTGATGCAGCTGGAATTAGTTCCTCGTACTTTTCATCCGACACCCGATCTTTCCCTACAGACACCATGGGTGAAAACTTAATTCTTCAATAAATTCGCCAAAAGAGGCAACTCAGTACTAGGAGTCTCCAGGAAATTCTAGCGCGGAGGATGGAGGGAGGATCCTTCAGCTTACAAGGTGACTCCAACCTTGCGAGAGTGGATGACAGTGCGTATAATTGCTCCTTGAAGGCTCTTGGCGTGCGGTATGTCTAACTCCTCGAGAGGAGATGGATTCGGCTGATGGAACTTTCAACGTGATAGATCTACTCTGAAACGCAACTTCCGGAGCAGGATTACTTCCAAGGGCGTTCAGGGCACGATGGCAGTACCTTAAAAGGAACATAAATTGAACTATCAATGAGCATTCCGGTGCTACTTGGGCGCGTTTCATTCGATGTTATAAATGAACGTAGGAATGACTTTCATCCAACGCCCTTGGGTTTAACGTTGCCTAACCTTAGAACTGCCAACCGTCGATAAAATCGACGTTGTTAGGCTGCCGGCCGTGCTGCTTCTGGCAGTTCCAGGGTTAAAGGGACATTCCAACGCTGTGCCAACGTTAGAAGTGTTTAAAGGGCTAGTTGAGGGGGGGGGGGGGTACTCATCTCAAGAAACTCCAGTTTAAAGCTTCAGCTAAGGTTCTCTCTCCGAAATGAATCATGAGTCTGTGGAACCCACAGAGAATTCTAGCTTCGAACTCGAGAAAATCGCATAAATTGTATCATTTCATGCTGAATTACCCTCAAATTGCGACGAGGTGAATGGCAACCAACAAAAGCCTCCGGTCAGTCCAAGGTGTACGTAAATAGGAGGAGGGCCTTGACATTGAAGGAAGAATGTGTGGAGGATGGGCGTAATGAAATGCTCATGTGCATCGTGTCTGCCTGTTTATGAAGACTCATCCCCTCCAGCCATCTCTCCTCTTTTCTCCCGCATCCGTGGATGAAGAACGTGCGTGAGAGTGGGTAAGTGAGTGAGTGCGTGTGTGTGGTCATGCGACCTCCTTAGGAATGTGAATACCCTGTGTGGGTCGATGGGGACTCCGTTCCGACACTCTCCTGTACTCGTTTATTTGACTCGGAAAATACCATTTTTGTCTCGGTACTGCAGCACATGGGTTATTCTCCGACGTGCTGAGACATCTGCGGGAAGTTTACGAAGGAAGAGATGAGCATGGACAGGGCGAAGGATCGGAATCGGGGAGGACAGATGCGGGTACGCGCCACAGCCCCGAGGCAAGTCCCCGCCGACAGGTATGTCTATGCCCGGCTGCGGACGCCGAGCTCAAGCAGCTTTCCTTTCTCCCTTCCCTTTTTCTCCTCCCTTCCTTCCTCCACTTCGGTTCAGTTCACTCCCTCTCTGAGTGAGCGCCGTATGCTGTGCTCTGCTTCGTGTCGGTGGACCTCGTTTGACTTGAGTCGGGTGGCATGAAGAGGTGAACCGTAACCTACAACCATGCCTTGTTCAGCAGTGACCTTGTCTCTGGCCACGATCTCGGCCGTCGTGGCTGTGGCCCTTCTCGGCATCTCCTTCGGCACAGACAACTGGCAGTACATCACAGTTCAAAGATCCCAGATTCAGGTGGGAGAAATTTACTCTTTCTTGAAATTGCGCACTTTCCGCATCCGATTACCGTAGATGACGGTGCTGGAACGGACGGGGTGAAAGGGTGACATTGAATCTCTGCTTGCTAATCGTGAGGCTTAGCCTGGAAATCCGCTGAGTTGGAAGTCGACGGGAATGTGGAAAGAAGGACCTGGAAGAAAAGCAGGCTTGGGCTGGCCTCGTCGGTAGCGGAGCGTGTATAATACGGCAGACCTTCCCCCTCGGGCAACGGAAAAAAAAATCATCTGGTTTCTCATTTATTCCTCTCTCAGAAAACAAAAACAAGGACGGAATTTTTAGGTAGCCCCAGGCATTACATTTCCTGGTCAGGAGCGAACCTCGGCTGCACGAATTCCATATTTGGATTATCAGTTGCAAGTTCTGTCCCAACAGATAATCCAGATCGATTGATGCCACAAAGTTTGGAGACAGTTATGTTGTGTCTTGCCAGGGTCATCGGAAGCGTGAAGGGAGTGAAGAGCGTGAAAATTACGGTTAAGTTCATGGGTCCGTGAGTTTGAAAGCTGTCGTGAGTGGCTTAAGCCTTCTTCCCTTCCCCCAAGACTAAAAGGATGTTTCCGCGTATCAGCTCTTCTCTGCTTCGAGAATACCATTACAGTTGGCATGCCAGATGAGACCAAGGTCTAATTGGGCTTGGTCTCTCGTGTGTAAAATGAGATTCGGAGAATCGTTCTTCGGCCTTCCCACCCTCAAAGGCGAGATTATTAAACCGGCCTTCTCATCCGGGACAAGGCATGAGCTGCGTGCGAGCGAAAAATCCATAAATGAGAATTTCGTCATTTTTGAGAATCGTCTCGTGCTTCTGGGAAAGTCCATGAGAGAAAGAAAGTAGAGCACGATGCCTTTGCTTAGTGTAGAGTCGCATTTCCGCCCTTGAGGAGGGGGTTCGGATGCTGCATCTGTTTCTGCTGGGAGGGTATCATATGGTCTACTGGGATCTCAAGGCAGACACATGACTGTCGGGTTTGACAGAATTTCGGTTGACTATGGTGTTACTGGATAAAGGCGTCGATGAAAAGCAGCTCTGCCCTCCGGCTATCGGAGTCTGGTGAAAAAAGCCCAACTCCATTGGAAAACCACTGGCAATGACAATATGAGATTGCCCGAGGGGAAAACGATGCTGGTGAGAAGGAAGTATTGCCTTGGTATCTCGTGAGGGCGAGGCCCAAGGACTTCTTAAACCCCCTATCTCGTTTCTTTAATTCCTTCTGTTCAATGACAGGGTGCAAAATGGTGTCCTTTAGTCGGCTTGCCCTGTCCAATTAACTGCGATTAGCTGCTCTCCTGTTACACCTTTTTTTTCAGGAACTGACACGATTGTTAAGCGGATGCAGTACTACATTTCGATCGAAGGTTGTCATTTAGACTATTATAGTCCTTGCAGTCAATGGATTCTTAGGTTTACAGCGAAAGTTGATTTTTTAAACAGCAGCTAAGGGCCCCAATATCCAGGTGATTCATTAACCGGTCACCGACATGAACCGACAACTTTTACCCAACGGTTAACCGAAGTTGAGGGAGTGATAGCTCTGAATTACGACTTCCAAGAAGGGACCCCAGTTGTCCCTTCCCTTCGTATATCTTACGATTCCCGCTAGAGATGACTAGTTTCGAAGGACGAGGGCAAGATCTCCCTCTCCAGCGGGCCCTCGGGGGATCTAGATGAGACCGCGGATATGAAATAGGAAGTGACGTTACGCGACTTTAAAAAGAATGGGCTGCATCGGTAGGATGAGAAAAAGGCGGAAAGACAGCATGATCGAGGGCTCCTTTCTCTTCTGATTCCTCCCGCGGTGCGGGACCGAGCAAACAAAAAAAAGCTGCGGGAACGAGAGTCACTATTTCACGTTCTTCCTGCGTACAGGAAATGCCAAAAAAGGACGTTAATAGATCGTGGAGAGAGAGAGGGAAAAAAAAGCCCGCTCGTGTTTCTTTTTCCGCCTATTTTTCCGTAGTTGGAAGGACTTCCTCATCCCATGTCAGGGAAACACCAGTCCGGAAAGGGTTGGCATCAGGCAGTGAAACCAAACCGAATTTTAGTAACAGGTTACACTTACGGCCGATGGGGTCTCTAAAAGCAGCAATTCCGCACTTAACAAAACTTTAAAAGAGGTAGGGTGGATTTTTGAACAGAGCACTATCCGATAATGCAGCTTTATTTAGAGAAAATGCATTATAAATCCGGTAAATAAAGCTGCATTATCGGATAATGCCCTGTTCAAAAATCCACCCGTAGATTTCATTCCTTCCTTTGGCTTCTTTTGTTAAATATGGCTAATCTGGCGTAGTGTGATCAATACCCTTTCTTGGTAATTGCTTGGTACTTGAAATGAGTGCTGTTTGCCATTAAGGATTTATGCATTAGGAAGCCATCATGCCATCCCTCCCTTGAATATCCAGTCAATTTCCACTACCTCTGCTGACAAATGCTTTACTTAGACTTATGGAGTCGAGGCCGCATCCAGAAGTGATCAATTGTGGGGTGCACTGACAAAGAAAACGCTTACCTATACAAATAAGAAATCCCTCTCTAATAGAAAGTGTGTATTGTCTTCGCGGGTCGTGGTTTGAATACCATTGCTTTACAGGGTATTTTAATGCCCTCTTTCAACTCTTGTACTTAACCCTTAGCTCTTATTTCAACTTTCCCTGAATAGTCGATGGTGCCGAATGTAAATTCATTTTTGACATTAAGGAAGAATAAAATTGTAATTTTTCTGATTAGTCCATTTTGGAGTTGCATTCCTGCTCAGCATGGGCATAGCCCAGCTGATAATTTATCCTGTGAAGTGAAACATGGGGTTAATTGAGTGAGTGTGATCATATTCTGATGTGATCAGAGTTTGCCCAGTTTTCTAGCCTCATTCACTTTGAAAGAGTATGACTTCACCGACTGGTTGAGTAAGAAAGTGTTCTGCCGTTGAAGGGGGAGCTTGCGGAATTCCAGAACAATTAGGATTTTCATAAATATCGTGGAACGACGCAAGTGAACACAAGCAAAATAGCCCCTGTTTCATTTTTATTTTTTAAGTAAATCCACGGGGATCTAGTCGGCTTATATTTTTTTCTCCCCCTGACCCCTCTCCCTCTCTCTCCCTCTGAGTAGTAAATACGACCCTTGGAATTCTGAAGTTTGGAAGTGAATGCTCCAATTGAAGCGGGAGTCGACACTTGGTTTAAAAGAATAATAATAATAAAGATAAATATCTGTGGATGAAGGGGAATTAGATGGAATCTTCTAATTTCAGATATTGGAGCAAAACTTACATTTCCTAACGGCTTTGCTTTTATTTATATTTATTTGGTTGTTGTAGGTGGTATTGCAGAGTGGAGATGTGAACAGTGAAGACGTGGAAAAGTTCACGAAAGACCCCCTGTACTTCTCGAGGACGAGGGGATTATTCCGAGTCTGCTTCCCCAAGGACAGACCTGCCGGTGAATATTTCTTTCCTTCATGTATCCGAACTGAGCTCTTCCACAGGAAAATTGCGTTCGGTATGAGAAGTTTCATTCCTCCCCGAACTCCTTCGTGAGGAATCGGAGAGGGAATAGGGAGAAGAGTTAAGGGGAAGTATGTTACGGGAGAAAAAAAGGAAAAAAAGAGGTCGGATTATATGGGAGCAAGTCAGTCATGCTCGCGTCCGGTCAAGTGTGGCTCCAGCTCACAACGGTTCATTCTCTGCCTCGATTCTGAGGTGAAAAGAAAACCACAGCGAAGAAAAAAGTGTGTCACACATGTGACTTCCCTTCCCTTGGAATAATCAACATACCTGTCTGTCTCTAGGGTATGCGTCTTCTCGTATCCGCCGAAGCGTCTTTCTCCAATCTCCCCTCCGGCGTTTTTCTCTTCTTTTGTACTGGTTTCGCTCAGAGATTCTGTGTCTCGATATCCAACTTCGACGAGGCTCAAGGAGTGGCATCTTCCATGCTTCTTGATTCTTCCCATCTTGCGATGGAAAGATTTGCATCTGCCAGACCCTGCATTCATTCGTCGGAAGTGATGAGCGGGGAGAGATGGATGAGAGCGGTGACTTTGGATCATTAAAGGGAGCCAAAAGGTGAATTCCCTCAATGAAATTAGAGGCTTTACATACCGCGAAAGTCAACGTACTCAAACACCTCAAGCATGACATTAGAGATTGTTTGCCTCAAGGTCGTTTCAATGTGACACCTGTCGCTTTCATCGATATACCATTGCTTGGACTGATGCCAGGGAAAGGGAGAAAGAAAAAGACGTTGCTGACTTTCGCGAAGTCGTTCTGCCCTGGTTCCTCCCTCCCGTCGAGTGTGTGCGTGTATTATTTCAAGAAATGAGTTGTGCATGCATACCCGAAGGGGTCGAAATACGCTGCAGACGGATGGATTGGCGTGGTTTCTTGCAGAGGTGCAATTACTTTCCGTGTGGGGGACACCTGTTCCTTGAGCCCGAGGCCCGAATGCACGAAATGAACTTCATTCAAGACTGATTGTAATGCTGACAGGAGCTCGATTGGGGTTATACTACTGCAAATATATCCATGCATTCTCGACAACAATCTTTATGGACGCGATACTATTCATGACAGGCAGTGAGGAAGTGAAGATGGAATTTTCTATTCCGAATGAGTCGCGTGGATTACAGAGGGTTTTGTTCCATGAGGAACGTTTCCGACTTGAGCCGACTCCGCCCGAGGGGAAGTCAAAAGAAACCTGCGTGTGGGGAATGGAGGAGAAAAATGGGATCGCCGACGTCATTCTCCCTTTTTTCTTTTTCCGACCTCGATGATTGGATCTAAGCGTGAAGTGTGAGGACTTCCCGTGGTCTCGTTATAGGGGTACCATTGGCTAGGAAAACCTGGAAATCTTCACTCCCTGAGAAGTGGCGAACAGTTATAAGTAGAAGGCGGAAGTCCAGTACTAATGCGTAAATTTTGGCTATGGAACTGATAATCAAATGGCGCGACATTTTGATTCTGTAAATTTTTATTATTATGGAGCCCTAAGTTTGGAGTTGATGCCCAACTCCAATCCGTGTAGATTGGGCTGGACGGACGATGCGAAGACAGGCTTGGACTACTGTGGTATGAATGGAGGATCCTCTTCCCTTCCGGGCATACAGTGGCCTACATCCCCCCTTTGTCGGCCTCTGCTCCTCACTCTCTCGCTGAACTGCATTTCATGGAAAACTTGTGACGAGCAATGATTTGATGGGTCGCTTCGCACCGTGGAGCCAATGAGATCTTGCGCAGGACGACCACCGACCGACTTACAGTCGATCGGTGGTCGTCTGCCACGAAGGGACGAGTGAAGGGAATGCCCCTTCCCCCGTAACGTCGACCACCCAGGCTTTTAAGGGTCTCGAATATCACCCCCACCCTAGAATGTAGTATATACCGATAACATGAGAGAAAATATTATGATATCCGAGAATTTTTTTTTTCACAAGACCGATGTTGGGGGGAAAAAAAAAGCAGATTCCGTGCCGTACTTGCCTTCAATGGTCCCCGATATATCTCCCCCTTTACGAATCAAGACGGCTTTCTTTCACCTGTGGGAATTTTTTTGTCTCGTTCCTACCATTCATTCTTGAAAGAAAAAAAGAGAAGTATTTCTTGGAGCGTGATGGACCTGAGACTTTGATGAGACGTGAAGGAGGGCACCGATATCAATCGAAGTACTTACTGAGACTAGACGTTTGGAATGAAATAGAGAAAATGGGAATGGATATAGATTGGAGGGTCAGTGTGCCATGCACGACTTGGTTCCAACCCCTCATAAGTTTCACCTGGTTCCCATGTGAAAACCCACCGATTTGTTTCCGCTCATCACTATTACCGCCTTCCTTTTTCTTTCCCCCCATCCATACTCTGATCTAGACAATGACCCAGTCCTAGCCAGTTGCTTCCATGTACGTGCGGGGTCAGAGGTCGAGACTGGATTGCGAAAGTCGTGTCATTGTTTGCAGTACGGTCTTCCTCGATGATGTCATGGCACGTGAGGCAACTGAGACGACACAAGGATTTCACGAATCTCATTTCTTGATTCATTTTGCTTAGGTGTGGCGTTGTACCTGTCACCAGTGGAAACGCACTGCATGAATGTGGATTACTATATCCCCGATGAGGAAAATCAGTTCAAGACGTTCTCCGAAGACAAACAGGCCACCATCCGTGAGTGCTATCCCTTTTGTATTCTTCCTAACCCCACATTGGATAGGTTTGTAATGAGGTTTTCTTTTTCCGGGGCAGATATGGCGCGGTCTATGATCGCCCTGTTCATCGTGGCCTTCTTCTTCATCTTCATTGCTTTCTGGACGGGAGTGGCGGGATGCTGGCGTCGAAGCCCCGGCAATATCCAGTCTACATTCATCCTCATGATGATGGCATGTAAGTGGATGTTGTCACCCACTGGGGGTGGGCATATGTTTGCTGCTAGAGTCCGCCCTCGAGGCTCTTGGGATAGTATTCTGTAGGATGGAAGGCCGGGCAGGACCACGTATAAGTGGAAGTGAATGACCGAAGAGGCAGACTAGGGATGGACACGACCCCCGGGCCAACCCAACCAGAACCTGTTTCACTCTCTCTCTCTCTCTCCCCTCTTCTCTCCTCCTTCCTCGCTAATTACCTCCTTCCTTCATTGAAACATGGATTCCGCCCCATCCCATTCCGTCGCTTCCTATCGTGCAGATTCTGATATCCGCTTCCATTCCAGCTTCCCCCTCCCCCGGGCTGGTGCGATCTGTCTTAACCGGGATTGCAAACTATCTCAATTTTATGATAAAGTTAGAAAGGTTAGTTTCACTTGTTAGAACGGATCGATGTTCCAAAAAAAAATATCTGACACCATGAGAAGTTGAACCAACTGTATAGTGGTAGGTGTAGTACTGTAACTGGACAAGGGTAAAAAAATGTCATGTAAAAGTGTTCATTGAGTAAGCCAAAGCCATTGGTAATTTTAATATTGTAAAGGTTGCTGTTACAAAAGTGTTCCAAAACAATCGGAAGTTGTGCAATAAAATTTGGCATAAACAGGCATAGCTGCCAAACCAAATACGGGAAGATGGTCGTTTCATTTGTAAGTGTTCAATGGTAAGGCCTCATTAAATGTTCAAACAAGAAATGAAAGGCTGTACTCAGAGGAGGGTCAAGTGGCATAAGTACCTAGTTGGATGGTCTCCAGCTGCTTGAGTGTCTCCTCTCCTCTCATCTCTGATGGGATTCTTTCTTCTGATGCTCTGACAGGATACACTTCCCTTCTCCCTCCAGAAGGTCTCAGTTCCTGCCATGACTTGTTCATCTCCAGAATGAAATATTTGTATCATGCAATAGATCCTATTTGTTTAAAAATTACTTACTTTGTCAATGAGCATCAGCAATAATACATGTGAAATCATAACACTGGATTGTAAAGTACAAAAAACTGATATTGGTGAATTCAAGGCATGCAGTTTCTTAAATTCTCCTGGGAAACGCAGTGGCAGGCTTATTCATGATCTGAAGTGTTGTAAGTGATATGAGTTTTGGTTTCCTTGCTCAATATCTTGAAGGAAAACAAGGAGGCCTGAGGGATCCAACAGAGCATGACATATATATTCTGTCTTTCAGGTTTATTGAGTGCAGGTGGAATGGGACTTTGGCATGGAGTGGAATATTATGAACAGCAGAAGCTTGTGGAAGAAGGGTATTACCTCCAATGGCCTGAAGTGAGTCCTCTCCTCATGCCATATAATATTTTTTTGCCCTTAGATGGTTATTGTGCACCACGCACAAAATGTCATTAGTTCATGTATTACAGCGTTTACACAGAAAGCTGCTTTTTGCTAATCTCATTATATTAAATCATAATATTTGGACTTTGTGGAATTGAAATGTTTTGAAACATTTCTGTGTAACTATAGACCATTAGCTCTTAAAGAGTTTTAAAGTTGTATAGTTTTACATGCATGTGCTCTTCCAGGGATGGGGAGTAAGTGTGAATACATTACTCCTGTCCTTGGAATAAGGACACTTTTCTGAAGAGCTGTCAGTCGCCAGTGTTAATAGTAGAGAACTTATGGTCTAAATGTCAAATAGGTTGATCCTGAGCATTCTGGAACAGGAACTTGAACATGTTTTGCTATTGCTATTGCAGCACTTGAAGGAAGCTACAACGATCAGCTATGACTGGTCATACATCATTGCCTGGATAGGAGTTGGGTGTTCTCTGGTTTCATCACTTCTCTTCTTTGGTGCTGGTCGCTGTTTGGAGGATGAGCGAGACAGAGAACATGCCCACAAGATGCAGTACCTCATGCCCGGTAAGATTATCTCGGTCACCTCTGAGAACATAAGTGTTTCAGGATATCCTTACACTTCACTTGGAAGTAGTTTTATTTTGTGAACCCCACAAAAATCTCAAGGGATGATGGAAGTGAATCCTCTGCTGACTCAAGCCCTAGTTCATTATCTCAGGTTATACCAACAATCAAGTACACCTGTTATTCTTAATATACCCTCCAGATAGAGAATACAGATAATGGAGCCTTATTTACTAGGTCTCATGTCCTTTTTCTGAGGTTCAAAGATTTTCTGCAAAGACCTTTATGGAAAGTCTTTATATGCATTGGATTGGCTTTTGTAGACTTATGGCATCTTCTGGATGGGGAGGGGAATAGATACTGCCATCAGGTGAGGTCTAGGTACATATTACAAATTCAGAGTTGATTTACAACAGTGGTGCACAACCTCTATTCTATGAGGGATAAAATTGAGATTTTAACTTGCGTTCAAGGGTTGCAAATGCCACTGAAGGTTGAACCATATCCATTCTTTAATGAGATGGCCTGGCACTGGTTTTTGGAGACCCTCTTCTATAGTATATCTAGTTGGAAGGTAATCTGTGAGCTGCAGGCTATGCATAATTGGTTTGTAAAGTATGAATAGGGGAAAACCATGGCCGTTTCCAAATATCGGAATGGAATTGATTGACTGGAATGTTGCTTCATGTTCTTGCTGAGTTTCTTTATAAGGGATCAGCATTGTGTTGAAAATATTATTAAAACTGTCAAGGATTAATGGTAAAGACCTATAATATGTACCTTTTGTCATAAATGTACTGATGGGAGGATTTGGCCAATAGAATTGTATATCTTATTGGATGGTGACAGTTGCTGATCGTACCGGGAGATCAATGACTTGACGTCTGGTGGCCAGTTGACGACATTAGTTGCGTTGATGGGTTTACATGCACAAACGCTTCACAGGAGCACCACATGAAGGTTGCCGCCTTACTCCCAATGGTGACAGTGCCTATGCCAAACAGGAAGGGTAAAGGGATGCCTGACTCCATATCATATTCAGATGTCTATCACAAAGGGAGACTTGAATAATACATTTTTTAAATGTATTTATTTTGTTCCCTTGGGCTACCTGTCCTTTTATAAGGAGACTATAGGGCTAATCACAAATGCAGAAGTTCCTTTTTTGGTGAGAAGCCTTTGGGGAAGGCAACTGATAGTGATGGTTGTTAGTCCATCAGTACCAATACAGCCTGAAAAACAACACTGATAAAGATGCAACTAAGGAATTGGAATGGAGTGGAAGAGAGAATCTGAAAGTGTTTGTTACTGAGATATGTTGATAATGGGAAGTTGTGATCTTGAATCATTGTTTATAAGAAGTATGATGAGGTTGTGTTTTTGTGTTTGCAGTTTACCCACAGAAGCAGCAGTATGCATATGGCTATGCCTACCCAGGGCCCTACTATCATGGCTCGCAATATGGCCCTTACAACTACTGAGGAGCAGTGAGCCTGTCATGAATGGAGCATGACAATTTATTAAGAAGTGCAGATGAGGCTGAGGCCTAGACACAGGCACAGCTAAGTCATCTTCAACCTGTGATGTGATGTCAGATGAAAAAAACAATCATCCTCTGATTGAGGGTTCACAATCCTTGTATCCCTGACCTGATAAGCTCAACAGTGTATTTGTTACAATATCTCTCTCTCTCTCCCTCTCTGAGTGCAAACTCCTTGCTTAGTTGGTTGAATAGTATTGATTTTTTCCTCTTTCCAATTTTGAAGTGTGCATGCCTAATGCATATGTACACGGAATTCAATTCTTTTTCTTTTATTTTTCTTTTTTGCCCTGTTCATTTTTGTAAGGCAAACTGTATTTTATCCCTATTTCAACTGACTCTTAGTGACTGCTCTCACGAGCATGTTCAAGACTTTTAATGATTATTGAATGTTATTCTATGTACTGCAAAGTTATGTTCAGGAGGCGATTGCAATTTCAGAATAGAAAATTTTCATAGGTCTATGTTGAGTGCCAATCGGTCTAAGGCCTGAGTTTAGTGGTTTGGGTATCCCAGCCACAACTCTACTTCCAACCACAATAGGGAGAAAGTCTCCCAGAAACACTGACTGATGACACAGTTGAGGTTGTGAATATTCAGCCTATGTGTGTGCGTGTGCAGTTAAGTTATTGATTGTTGAACTGCATGCAGTCAACTTGCTTTTATCTGTCCTTCATGTAGTGAATGTGTGTCTGAGTTCTGATTTCCTGGTTGTATTTCTATGGGCAATATTGAATGAAGGAAGAATGATTGTTATAGACATTGTTTCATTTGATAGGAAGCATTGTTTTGAACCTTATTTGATGAGTTTGGGTGCTGGCTGTAAATATATTTTATTTTATTCAGCATATTTGCCAGTCAGCCAGAAATATGAAGAAAATGACATTGTAATGTTTCTCACTGTAATGTTTCCTTTCACTGGCATTATGCACTTGGCTTAGTCAGATTCCAGCTTGAGAATTGAATGCCACATTGACTTAACCTTTTCACACTTGACTGGCAAATATATTTCCTCAATTCTGTTAACCCCTCGGGCTGTTTCCATGTACTAGGTGCTGTTTTTGCATTGTCAAAGATTTGCCATCTGCTGTCTTTTTTGTCTTGCTGTTTGTCTTGTGGCAAGGCCTTTCAAAACTGAGCACTTGAGGGGTTTACTGTACAGACTGGCTCTGATATAGGCTTGTACATACAGGGTGTCTGATAAGTCACTGACCCTTTTCAAATTGTTATAACTTTTTTAGCACTCATGATTACATTGCAATTTTTGCACCATGTTGTCCAATTGTTGTTTCTTAGATATTGTTTTGTTTTATTTCAGAATTAAGTAATGATGGACTTCAAAGTGACAGTTAGCGACAGAGCACATATTGCTGACCATTACGAGGTGTGGGTCTCAATTGTTAAGGTGCAGTGTTGGTGGTGAAGTGTTAAAGGGGTGCATGCCACTTAGCAAAAACACAATAAAGAATTGTCACAAAAAGCTTCTGACTAAAGCAGGGGTTATTAACCTTTTTGCACCTATGGACTCCCCAGATTCTCAAGACCCAGATCCATGGACCCCAGGTTAAGAACCGCTGGACTAAAAGGTCAATGTGTGATTTACCCAGAAGTGGTCAACCATCCACCTCAAGAATGGCTAACAATATTGCCACAGTGGAAGCCATGACCCCCTATCACACACTGACCCTTTAGTCAGAAGCTTTTTGTGACAATTCTTTATTGTGTTTTTGCTAAGTGTGGTGTGCACCCCTTTAACACTTCGAGACCAACGCTGCACCTTCACAATCGAGCCCCACACCTTGTAACGGGCAGCAATATGTGCTCTGTCGCTGTCACTTTGAAGTCCATCATTACTTCATTTTGAAACAAAACAAAAACAATACATAAGAAATCTCAATGATTGGGTAACATGGTGCGAAAATCGCAATGTAATCACATGAGTGCTACAAAAGTTATAGCAATTTGAAAAGGGTCAGTGACTTATCAGACACCCTGTAGATCTCAGATCCCCATCCTTATTCAGTCAATCTCAACTGAGAAATGTGTCCAAATCTACTGCATAAGTCTACAGAAGGAGATCAGGAACTGAAACGATATGAACTGCGAACTCACTGAATTCTACAGGGTGTTTTTTTTATTTTTAGAGCAACCCTTGAAAATGGCATAACTTCTATATGATAAAGCTACCAAGTTGAAATTTGGCATAAACCAAGATCTAACCATGTCCAACTCACCCCTATTGCAGCAGATGCTAGAATTCGTTTCCTCATTATGCCCAATTGAACATGATGCTGTAAGTTTTCAAAAGTACAGGGTAGTACATCAACAGGAAAGTAATGATTGCTATTTTTAATGTTCTCCTTCAGCCACAGAATGGTGTGTGGATTATTGAGGTAAGTAGTTTCCTTCAAGTAACCCCATTATCGATTATTTGATTTTTCCATTTTTTATAAATTCGTCCATCAGTTCAAAGACATTGAACTCACCCTGGGTTGCTTCCAGGCAGACTGTCAGATGGCCTACCTCAGAGAGGAGTATGGAGCATTTTCAGTTATTCTTTTGAAGACAGAATCATATCAAAAGATCTATGGCCATGAAAATCTGATTTCACACCACCCAATTATTTTCTTTTGGTATTATTTAAGATTACTGTTTACTGAAACAGCATTCACACTATTCCACAACTAAAGGGAGAAAATTAAAAACAACATTTGGGACTTTCCTGTTGATGTACTACCATGTACTTTTGAAAACTTGCATAATGCTCAATTATCCATAGAGAATGAGGGGATCGATTCCAGCACCTGCTGTAATAAAGGTGAGTTGTGCATGGTTCGATCTCAGTTCAAGCCAAATTTAAACTTGCTAACATTATTATGAAGGTAGTTATGCCATTTTTCATGGGTTGTGCTGATAAAAAAAAACCACCCAATATCATGGCAGCTTTCATGCATGTTGGGAGACTAGAACTGAGGTGTGATACATTAGCATTGATGCCTTGAATTCACATGTGCAGAGGCACCTATACTTTGGCCTTGGACAGACCTCTTCCAGAACTTTTCCTGTCCACTCAGATCTCAAAAACTAAGGCACTCATGGACCTGCTTAAGTCATTTCACATGGTGCTACTGAACACTTTGACCAGTGGATGTCTTTTTGGGCAGTTGTGTTTTGAGGGCCATGGTGTTGAACTTCAAAATAATTATTTAGTATACATATTTTTTTTTCATGAGGTTCTTGATCCTCTGCTGTAGCCTTGAGAAGGAAATCATAAGATTTAATCATGGTGCAAAATGTTTGGTTTGTGCTCAGATAATACCTGAACTTTGCTTGAATGTAGTCTCTTACAGCCCTAAATAAAAAAAAGTGGGAGGCATTGCTAGAATAAAAATGTTATGGGATTAGGCTGGGTGTAGTCAATTAAATCAAGTCCATTGCATTCATCAGACCCTTCTTGCCAGCATTACCACAAATAAGCAGTTGTTGAATTAATATGGGATTCAAGCAAGTATTAATTGGTGTGTTTTGAAAGCAATTTGCAAGGGGATCCATTAGGGATGAGGCAGTCAATTGACCACCTTTTAATTGACTGTTATGGGTCACTCTTTTTTATTATTCAGTGAATTAAGACATTTTTACAGAGCTCATAACTGGTCATTTATCCTCCAGCACAAAAACCAAAGAGCCAATTCCATATTTAGAGATATATATATGCTACCCACCAAACATCTGGACTGTGACACCTGTTGGCAGTGGCATATTTTGGCTGAAGGGTCAGGGGGGGGCAAGGTAACAGAGTGAGGGTGCCAAACCCCACCCGGGTGATATCAGGTGAGAAAATTATTTCTTCCAAGGAGGCACCAGGCTCTGTCCTATGGGCGCCAGGGGGGGTGGCTGCCCCCCTGCCCCCTGTAAAATACACCACTGTCTGTTAGGTATGAAAACATTTTAGCAAATGCTCAAACTACCCTAACCTCTCACTTGAGTGGTGTAGAGTGTGTACAGGCATAGCCTGTTGTTCAAGGTCTTCCAGCCTTAATAACTTTGAAAGTTAAGATTCAAGATCTAAGTTATAGCTTTAGAACTTCAGTTTAATGCAAGGTCTATCATAGTCTTGGCCAATAGTCTGCATCATAGCATCAAATCATTCTCAGTCTGTGATCAAGGGGCAAGTACTTGGATTCTGCCTCAGCAAAAGCCTAAAAAATTGATCTAGCTATGAAGAACTAAGTTGAGCAAGGCAGAGGCTATTTTTTCTCACAGAAATTAAATAAATGCATGAATAAATGAATAAATATCAGAAACCATGAAACTCCAGTTCTGGAAACTATGTGTTGCATTCCTCATTATTCCGAGCACTTATGGAGCTACCTAGTCACAGAATTTACCTCTGAAACATGAATTATTACTGTTTAATCTCTCAACTCGTGCAATATATATGGCTCAGTCTATCTTAGCGATGAAATGTTGACTAGTCTACATGGTCATTTATGATCATATATAGTCATGAGGCCTAACCTTGTTAGGCTGGTTGACCATTATTGTCTATAAATGGTCAGAAGTGACCATGTTGACCAGTCACACATCCACCACATCTATCACTTATGAGTCATGACATACAAATGGCGCACAAAAAAAGCAAATTAAAAGTTGACCTTATTGACTATAATTGACCAGAGTTGACAATATTGACCAATCAATTGACAGGCCAATTACCTATCCCTGGGATCCATGCAAATCTGATCATATCACAAAATTTAACACCAATTCAACTATTCAAAATATTCTATTTCCAAACAATCCCTGCCTTGCTTTCTCTCCTCTCCATTCATGTGCATATATGCAAAGTCCATAAAAACAAGTACTCACTGACGAAAAGATAAAAAGAACATTAATGAAGGATGAAGGAAGGGTTATATCCTCAAGGAGCTTGGGGAGTGCTCAGCTTTTTAACATTTTGAATAAGATTTTTTGGAACTTTTAAGAATATCAGATGAATCATAAGCATTTGGCAAAACTTCAATATGTAAAACTGGAGAGAAAAAAAAAGAAACCTTATCACATGATTGAAAATTGGTTCAATCCATTGGTTTACAACTTCATCCTAACAAATTTATAGTGGTACAGTGGATTTGGAATAGTTTTGTACAAGTTTGCATTGATGCATATTTTCGATGAATCTAGAATGCTTACATATTACACAATTATTATATAATGCTTACATACAGGGTATAAGATTTTAAAAATATTGTTGAAGTCCTACTCCTTGAATTCACTCTATTAAGCCTCTGATTGTGACACAATACAATTGTCCTAGCATAGGGAAAGCTTTGAGGGTGTATTCTAGCATAGAAGGAATTTGAAGACCATTGGAATGCTTCAGGGTCTTTACATCCTCTCTTACCTAAGATCTACAAGAGGAACCTTTCCTGCATACAAACCAAACAGCCTGCTGTGTCAGTTACTCTCCTTAACTCCTATGTCCATGTTATTCTTCAGAAATCATATCAAATTATGTGCCAAGAGCTCCAAAAGCATTATTATTATAAAAAGTATTATTTTAATGTCATTGAATAATAAAAATTAACAACTGGGTATGGCAATGTTTAGACCATTAATTTTAGCCTTTTTTCAAGTGGATCACTGACTCTCATGTGGGTCAGTGAATTAGTTGATTGCTTTTAGAACAGGAGCATATCAAGTTTTTCTTTCAACAGAATGTCACAGAGATCCCTCTTCATTCCCATTCATTGCTTAGAATA